ACTTTTTGAACTTAATCACAAATTTCAATTCAACCCAATTTAGTCGATAAAGCATTTTAGTGCAAGAGTGCTAATTCGGTTGGAAGATAATAGCATGTGAAATAATAGCATGTGAATACAGGGATGTAAAAAAATATATTAAATATATTTTTTCAAAAAAATAAATATATTTATTTTTTTTGAGGAGAAAAATAAATATAAAAATATATTTAAATGTTTTGCTTGCTGTTGAAAAAATATCTGCTTGCTGTTGAAATTTGCCAATTGGCCCTATACATAATAACCAGCAAATAAAATGCGGACATCCGTTTATTGCACAGTAGACCCCGAAATAAAATATTTCCCTACAAAAACAAAACGTATATTTTTACATGGCCATTGTTCCTTTAGCTGGTGCCCGAAATCGCCCAATCTGTGTTTAACGCAATAGTCCTAGCAGCCGTCTATTGGAAACTTGCTATTGGAATATTTTTATTTTTTGAACTGGAAAATAAATTATTTAAATGTATTTATTGTCAATATATTTAAAAACAATATATTTTTTTACATCCCTGTGTGAATATATATTCCGCCTTTTTCAAACTATTCAAGCCAGAGTAAAGAACAGTTTTCAGTTTTTGTTCCTACTTTCGATACGAAAGTAACGGAATATTTGTGCTCGGGGTGGGTTTTTTTTTCTTCAGACAAATTTCGACTTTTTAACTAGCCATTTTTGACAGAATTTTTTTATATCATTCGAAAGCTATTGTTGTCTTGAGCTTGAATTTGAAAAAATATTTTACCTGCGATCAATTTTTATAAAGTTATGGGGGTTTAAAGACTGCCATTTTGGCCAATTTGGGACAATTAACGCGCGATAAATTTCGCGCTATTATCGCGTAAGCGAGATTTAATCCGTCTTAGAAATTGTTCCAAATTGGTTCAAGGATGCTTTTATGCCATAATTGATTTGTTAATGGGCGCAAAATTTATCACTTTGTACTTAATATGACGTGTGGGGGGATGTTTTTACATAAAATCTCAAATTTTTTCAAAAAGTTTTTATTTTATTTTTTCTATTACATTGAAATTTTTCATGTTATTAATGCTCCATAGACCTTAAAAGGCAGTGGGAACACTCAGGACTTCGCCCTGATACGAGCAGTGTTGTTCTTTTATAGTTTCAGTCTACTGCTAACATATCAAAACTATTTGCTCACATAGGTTGAAGAGAACTGATATGATAGTCCAACTATTTTTTTCCAGATGCTGTGGTAGTTCTGAATTAATTTTCCTCTTATAGATTTGTTTTGGAACAAATTATTAATGAAACTGGCATTTGGTAGACAAAATTATTAACATAATAAACTCATATCACCCTCTTAAGACGTTTGAACTAATGTTCCAGTGCAAACTCTGTTGTTCGAACCACTGAAAAAAGGTAGGAACTTTGACTTTGGGTGGGGTTTAATTTCCGTTTTTTCTTGCAAAATCAGTTTCCTCAAATGGTAATTAAAATAGGTCGACTGATATAGCATTTTAAAGCCCTATCAGCCGTGTTTCGAAAACAAGAATTTTTGTTGTAATTTATTCAGCCAGCCACAATTGTTTGTTCATCAAATAATGAACATTTTGATTAAAAACTTGGCAGAGAGTAATTGAGTTCCGACGAGGAAACGCGGCTAGGACTTAATTAAAACGGCCTCAAAGCTATCATTTCGTGAACGGGTTCAAATGTGCCAAAAATTGCTCCTGCATGTTTTTTTATATTGCTTTCATCTTTGACCATTTTTGCACCTTAGATAAATTAGGTTCATTTTTGAATGCCAAAAATAAATACTGGAAAAACTTGGTTTTGAAAAGCTTCGAAAACTGATTTAGAAGATATTATTAAACATCAACAAGCCTGAGTTTGAAAAAAAAACGGATCGTAGATCCGCTCTTGTATTCGAATAAAAAATGTTTTTTTTTTTGTCAAACTCTCATCTTTTGCGCAAAATATTTTAAAATCTATGTTTTTCTATGTTGAATAGAAATTCACACGGCAAACAAAATCAGGCGGATCCAAAGTTGGAAAATGATTGGCTTAAATAGTGCAAAATTTTTTCTAAACTAATTTTTGGATAAGTTAATTTGGGACATTGTATGATCAAAACGAACAAAAATAATTCAGAAAAGTCAGAAGTATAAAAAAGTTGAAATAAATGATTGTTAGTCGATCAAACTTTTTGGTTTCCTTGGCTATGAATAGGTCTAAATTGAAATAACGTACGCATCATAATCAGCCATTTTTCAAATCCTCATAGTTTACAAAAAGCATAGCGAGAGCAAATTAATTGAATTCTTTTAAATAAATTGAATATTTAAATCTCTGTCTTAAATTTTAGTTAAAGTGCTCACTTGGATTAGCAACATTTTTTGAAAAAAGAAACGTAAAATTTCATCCCCCCTAATTTTGTCAATGAAGCTTTTTAGTGCACTTAAATGTTAAAACTTTAATTTGTTGTCTTCTTTTTCCAGCCACATATTCAAAACTTTGGGATCATGTCAGACTGTTATAACTTAGTAACCGGGTGATTTTTTTGAAAAGAATTGTAATTTTTGTAAATCAATTACATTTAAACGTGTTTTTTCTTAAATAATAGAAGGATTTAATTTAAGTTTATTTAGTATAAATTCCATTGTTTTCAAGTTTTTGAACCCATAATTAAAAAGTATATTTTCAGTTTTTTGTCCCTATTTCACTCTTTTGTCGTTGAGTGAACTGCATCGTTTCATTAAGTGAAGGGAACAAACAGATGCTCGGTATTAGAAAAATCTGCGCTGTTTTTTTGCTCGGAGTATTGAAAATGGGAAAAAATTGAAACGTTAGTTGTGATTTTTCCATCAAGACAGGCTTTGCATATAATTGTTAGATATGGTCAGAAATCTGTGTTTTGCTGCGTTTAAAGTTCTGATTTTGCTATGAAAATTTTCAAATAAATTTTAAAAAAAATTTTGGTGACGAGAACAATTGGTCTGCGCTTTTTCGCCTTTGAAATCTTCAGATTTTGTATAATTAGCGACAAAAAATTAAAATTAAGGAAAAATGAATAAACAAGACTGATTTTATCAAAAGGCAATGCCTTGAGTTTTCTCGCCGCCTTAACGCATTTGATGTAGTTTTACAAACTTTTGTTATTGGGATTGCCCGTACTCAGTAAAAAGAGAAAATAATCGATTATAATACAATTATATTTAAACTTTTAACAAAATTATAATTAATTATAAGCGCCAAATTCCGATTTTTAAACGATTTCTAATCCATTATAATGATAACATAATAATTTATTATAGTGTCACGAAAAATGTTACTTTTTCCGAAATCATTTATAATCTCCGATAATCACTTATATTCTCTTATAATCTCTTATAATCTCTTAAAATCTATTATAATCTATTATAATAGATTAAAATATTTTTTTTGTCAAAAATCTCTTAAAGTGAGATGTTTTGTCACTCTTTGGTTCATCTGAACACAAAGTTCACCGCGAAACAAAAGTTTCATAGAGATCCCTTCATATTAGTTGAAAGAATCCTGCGGTAGGTGAAATATAATTTTTTCAAAAGAAGTTATGAAACTAAATCATTATACTGATATTTTGGTGGTCAAAGAAGCCTAAAATGTACATCATGAAACCTTTTATAATCAAGAAGAAATGAAAAAATAAAACGATAAAAACTTGAACTTATTTGAATTTTGTTAAAAACAATTTTACCATTTTGGTAATAAACCAACCAACGTCCACGAAAAGCATAAAATATAGACAATTATAATGGATCTTTTCTGCAAAACAAATGAAAAAGAAATTTGGATAAAAACAATCGTTTATAATCGATTATAATGTATTATAATTGATTATATTTGATTTCAAAAAGAGAGGTTATAATCAATTATTTACTGTTTAAAATCAATTTGCTCTCAATTTTTGTAAGACTGGTATTAAAATCATTTTATAATCAATTATTAACGCTAAAAACTGGATGCGGGTAATTACCCAACCTTTTTTTTTGAATCCGTTTTTGGACTAAATCTCCGCTTACTTTACTTGTTGATGTTAAAACAAATTGGAGTTCGAAAAATTAAATATCTCAAACCTTCTGAAGTGGCAATTTTCAAACCACCATTACATTAGTAAAATTTGTCGCAGTTGGAATATCTCCGTAGTTTTGGGCGCAAAGCATCAAAAACTTTTAGATGTGGCTGTCAATAAAGACTAGTACAAATGCGAAATTAGTCTGAAAAAAAAACCGAGCACAAATATTCTGTCGTTTTCTTCAGTAGTTGGAAGAATTACCCACAATATGGTCATTCTAAAACATGTAACCGTTAAAATCAACTCTTTTGAGCTAACAACATGTACCTTTGAAAACCTGGTTTCGTTTCAAAATTTTTTTTGTTCCAAGTTTTGTGGGCGTCTAAGAACCAGAAACAAAAGTGTTTAAACTTCCCTACTGTTGTTTTTGTCAGTTTGTTTTAACCATGAGGCAAGTATTTTTTTAACCTTTTCTCACATACTTATGGACCTATGGGCTCGGAAGATGTATTGAACTAGTTTGCGTCTTTTCAATACACAATCTGCACAATATTTTTTTCCTTTTTTTAGTATCTCATCAAGTTTTCAACTTAAAACTGTTTAAATGGCCCTAAAGTGCAGTCGGAACATTCAGGGTTTTGCCCTGATATACAAGCAGTCTTGTTTTTAGTCTCACGTTCCTGCTGTTAAATAACTTGAGCAGGCTGAGCATTAAAAAGGACCAAGTGAAGAAGCTTGCCCGTAAATCATTTCAGAGGGGAGAATTGTTCATTCGGTATTTTGAAGGGTGAGAATGTTCATATGGGTTCAAAAATGTACCTTAGTCTCAGAAAGTGTAAGTAAAGTTTTTTGGCTTTTCTCGCTTTTTTAACATTTTTCAAACGTTTCTCGCAATAACTAAAACTGAACACCGACGGGCTCGGAAGAAGTTTCAAACTTGTTTAGGATGCGCACTACGAGAGTGTGATTCGAGTGTTGGAAGAGGAGAAGGATTTCTACAAGCAGGAGTACGAGAAGATCAAACTGGGGGAGGCGAGGGCCAGAAGTCGAAGCAGATCCTCCAGTCCAGTCAAGCAACACAACACATCCACCACTTCTAACTCAGCGTCACAGTACAAACTCACGGTTAGAAGCAGTCATAACATATAACTTATAACTTATAGCTAGTGATAGTCAAAGTTTCACAGAAGCTTCTCGCTACTTGCTGAAATTCCCCATTTGTCAAATAACTCTAAAAAAATCAAAGTAATTCGAGTTTCATTCTAATCGTAGTCTCACTCAATCTCACAGTACAAATTTACGAGTTGTAGGAATTATACCGAGGGGCGGATTTAAGATTGTCTCGTGGGGGGGGGGGGGGGGGGGGTGGTGGAAAGAAGGTGGTGGGATTTTTTGAAAATTTTGTAGACTTTTTATATGGACCAATTGATTTTCCGAACTCTAAAAAGACCGATCTTTGACAAAAAAAAAATTTGCGCCGCAAGCAAACTATTCAAAAATGGGTCAAAATGCCGTAAATGCAGTTTAGGGTGGTCGGACGAAAATGGATGACATACCATAATACCAAAGCTAAGAAGCTTCTATCCTCAAAATTTCAGAAGTTAAAAATCATGACCTGTGTTTAAAGATATAGCTTAACTTTTAAAAATAAAATAAAAGCATAAATTGTGGCGACACGAAAACACTTCATTGTGATTTGTGAATAGTTTGTGTAATAAATTCATTTTGGACTACATAATAGACAAAAAAAATAAAAAATTACATGCAAAAAGAATTTCCGCGAAATGTTTGTATGAGCACAAAAGTGAGAATGCGATCAAAAAAAGAACAAAAATTTCAAAACAACTTTGGAGATTTAAAAAATGCTTATCAGTCAATTCTCATACATAAGACTTGTATGATGAATAATTTGATCCGAAAAATGAAATTATTTTTTCTTAATAATCGGAAACTTTCAACACAGTTCATAAACAGAAAAATTTTCTGAAGTCTTTGAAACAGCTTTCAAAAACTGTGTTTGTACAGAGGTCAACCCGACTAGCAGTAAAAGTTGTAAATTAAATACACACATTAGGGCTCCATGGATAAAATTCAATAAAGTTGGTTATAGTCTTACGAAATCAAAAAAATTATCATTTTAATTCATTACAATCGTTGTGCTCTCTAAATTATTCATGTCTCGCATCTTATTGTTCCGACTTTCGATACGAAAGTAACGGAATATTTGTGCTCGGGTTTTTTTTTTTCTTCAGACAAATTTCGACTTTTTAACTAGCCATTTTTGACGGAATTTTTAAAATCATTCGAAAGCCATTGTTGTCCTGAACTTAAATTTGAAAAGATATATCACCTGTGATCATTTTTCGTAAAGTTATGAGGGATTAAAGATTGCCATTTTAGCCATTTTGACCAATTTGGGACAATTAACGCGCGATATAATTCGCGCTATTAACGCGTAAGCGGAGATTTAATCCGTCTTATAAATCGTTCCAAATTGGTTGAACGAAGCTTATTTGTCATAATTGATTGTTACAAGGAACAAAATCTAACTTTTTGTACTTTATATGGCGTGTGGGGGGATGATTTCTATAAAAAATTTCAAATTCAGAAAAAAAATTCATTTTATTTTATTTCATTGAATTTTTTAATGTTATTACGGCTCCATGAACCTTAAAAGGCAGTTGAAACATTCAGGGCTTCGTCCTGATACGAGCAGTCTTGTTGAAAATTCTTTTCTTATTATGAGTCGATTTTAAAACCTTCTATTTTTCTCACGTTGACTAACACAATTTGCATTAGTTAAATGAGATTTGCAATTGATTCAAAAAAAAATTTATATCTAAAATGATAACATCAAAAACTTTTGTATTTTTTTTCGACAAAAAAAACTTTCAACTAACAAATTGGTCAAAGCGTTTGTGCAGCTTATTGAATGATATCTGCTTTTTCATTTGAGTTATGCAGTAATATGCGTAAATTTCGGCACGAGAGTCAAGTATGAAATTAAAAAACAATCCATACAAGACTGCTCGTATCAGGGCGAACCTATATTCCACTTGCGTACCAGGGCAAAGGGCTCGTTTGTCACTGCCTTTTAAGGGCTAATAAAACAAAAAAAATTAAACGTAATAGAGTAAAATGAAATTTTTATTATAATATTTGCGGTTTTTGTGAAAATCCTCCTAGTAACAAATCACTTGTGGCAAGTAGGCTTCTTTCAACCAATTTCGAGTGCGGCTTAAATTTCCGCTTACGCTTAATAGTGCGATATATATATTGCGCGCTAATTGCCCCCAAAAGGGCCAAAATTTACTTAAAATAGTCACAGGTGAAATATATCTTTTCGAATATAAGCTCATGAAAACAACACCTCTTGAATGATATTTGAAAAAACCCGTCAAAATGGCTAGTTAAAAAGTCGAGATTGTCTGAAAAAAAAACTTTCCGAGCAGAAACGTTCCGTTATTTTTGTTACAAATTTAAATTGATTGTTTTGAAATTGAATATCAAAAATTATCAGTTCACAATTCAATTTATTGACAGATGGAAACAGTTTAGTCTGCAAAAATCCATTGTAATCGATTTTGAAGCAACCATTTGCTTTTATTCTGCTGGCTTTACGGCATTTGCTCCAAAACACTATTAGCTATCGAAAAAAAAATCGGAAAAAAGTTATTGTTCCGACTTTCGATACGAAAGTAACGGAATATTTGTGCTCGGGGTGGTTTTTTTTTCTTCAGACAAATTTCGACTTTTTAACTAGCCATTTTTGACAAAATTTTTTCATATCATTCAAAAACCATTGTTGTCTTGAACTTAAATTTGAAAAAAATTTCACCTGTGATTATTTTGCGTAAAGTTATGGAGGTTTAAAAGTTGCCATTTCACCAATTTGGGGCAATTACCGCGCTATATGTTTCGCACTAGTCACGCGTAAGCGGAGATTTAATCCGTTTTATAAATCGTTCCAAATTGGTTGAACGAAGCTTATTTGTCATAATTGATTTGTTACAAGGAACAAAATCTATCTTTTTGTACTTACTATGGCGTGTGGGGGGATGATTTTCATAAAAAATTTCAAATTTTGAAGAAAAAAATTTTCAATTTATTTTATTTCATTTAATTTTATATGTTATCACTGCCGCTCCATAAACCTTAAAATGCGCAAATGCTTAAAACGCGTATTTTGCATAAATTGTGGCACGAGAGTCAAGTATGAAATTGAAAAACAATCCAAACAAGACTGCTCGTATCAGGGCGAACCAATGTTCCACTTGCGTACCAGGGCAAAGGGCTCGTATGTCACTGCCTTTTAAGGGCTAATAAAACAAAAAAAATTAGTAAAATGAAATTTTTATTATAAAATTTGCGGTTTTTGTGAAAATCCTCCTAGTAACAAATCAATTATGGCAAGTAAGCTTCTTTCAACCAATTTCGAGTGCGGATTAAATTTCCGCTTTCGCGTTAATAGTGCTATATATATCGCGCGCTAATTGCCCCCAAAATGGCCAAAATTTACTTAAAATTGTCACAGGTGAAATATATCTTTTCGAATATAAGCTCAGGAAAACAACACTTCTTGAATGATATTTGAAAAACCCGTCAAAATGGCTAGTTAAAAAGTCGAGATTGTCTCAAAAAAAAACTTTCCGAGTACAAACAGTCCGTTATTTTTGTTACAAATTTATATTGATTGTTTTGAAACTGAATATCAAAATTTATCAGTTCACAATTCAATTCATTGACAGAGGGAAACAGTTTAGTCTGCAAAAATGCATTGTAATCGATTTTGAAGCAACCATTTGCTTTGACTCTGCTTGCTTTACGGCATTTGCTCCAAAATACTATTAGCTATAGAAAAAACATCGGAAAAAAATTATTGTTCTGACTTTCGATACGAAAGTAACGGAATATTTGTGCTCGGGGTGGGTTTTTTTTTCTTCAGACAAATTTCGACTTTTTAACTTTCATATCATTCGAAAGCCATTGTTGTCCTGAACTTAAATTTGAAAAGATATTTTACCTGTGATCGTTTTTCGTAAAGTTATGAGGGTTTAAAGATTGTCATTTTGGGCATTTTGACCAATTTGGGACAATTAACGCGCGATATAATTCGCGCTATTAACGCGTAAGCGGAGATTTAATCCGTCTTATAAATCGTTCCAAATTGGTTGAACGAAGCTTATTTGTCATAATTAATTTGTTACAAGGAACGAAATCTTTCTTTTTGTACTTAATATGGCGTGTGGGGGATGATTTTCATAAAAAATTTCAAATTTTGAAGAAAAAAAGTTTTCATTTTATTTTATTTCATTTAATTTTTCATGTTTTCACTGCCGCTCCATAAACCTTAAAAGGCAGTCGGAACATTCGAGGCTTCGCCCTGATCCGAGCAGTCTTGTTTCATTTCAATCGAATTGTAAACGTGAGATCAAATTATAGGATCATTGCCAATTTTAGATGTACTTAAAAATTACCTATATTTGAAAGAAAAGCAGGCATGATTGAAGTATATCAATGCTACAAAAATCATCACATAAAAATCAGCTGCTTACAAACGGAATGTCAAAAGTTCCCTTGAAGGCAGCGCTGTCCATTTTACGCTTATTGATCTTCAGATTGTAGTTTTTAAACGTGTTTCATGCTTTTCTTAAAACTTTTTTTCTTTTTTAAATTTGGTCTGCTAGCGTGCAGTGCTATGAGCGATTGGTATTACGGGTTTAGTCAGCAGAAGCGTCGAGTCTCACAAAAACGATTTGATTTAATTTGTAGTTGATTCGTTTTTAAAACTACTGCTTTTGGCTGACAAAGCATAGTTTTTTTTTCATTTCAAATGATGAGGAAAGATTATGTTGGTGAACAAAAATTTGGTGATGCAAATAAATAAACATTTTATTAGTTGCAAAGAGCACACAATTTGGAGACGAAATTAAATAAACATTTCGCTAATAGAAACCATATCTCGCTTTTTGTATATATTATTTGATTTGATATTCATTTTTATTGAGGCAATCGTATATATGAATATTTTATATATTGCAATCGTATATATGATATTGAGGTAATCGTATTTATTATGGACAACACTGGTCTCAAGGACAACCGCGGTTCACTTTTATTAATCTAGTTGGCAATGTTTTGCTAAAAAGTGCTTTTCCAGTATATTGATTTTGCGCCGATCAAAAAATCACCAAAAAGAATAAAGGTTACTAAAACACAAAAGTTGCCAAAACAAAAATTTTTGGTTATAACGATCCAAAAAAAAGTTCAAAAAGGTCAGAATGTTGAAAAATTGACCCATTGATTAGATCATCATCGCAAATTGAGGCTATATTAGTTTTTGGTTGAGCTCAAAAACTCAAAACGTTTATCTGTGAAAAAATTGACAAACATTATTTTAAAATTTCTAAAAAAAAAGCGCGCAAAAAAGTCTGAATCCTGGGTCGAGGTGCTCGATTTATATTTTGAGTTTCTCGAATAAAACTTGGTATTTTTCGACCGTGTTGAGCGAATTGGGTGTGTTTCGACTTTTTGAACATAACTTTGGTTTTTTTACTTTCTCGGCCCAACAAAAAAGGGTTGCGACCATCAATGGCATTTTTAATGTTTGCATAGATATGTTTAAATTTTCGACTAAAAATTCTTGACTCTCTCAACAGACAAAAAAATCTTTGATTCATATCAGTTTTGTTTCAAGCGGTGTGACCAACAATGGCTTTTTTAATGTTTGTCTCAAGGGTTTCGTTATGAAAGTTTGCTTCAAAATATTGCTTCATTTAATTCATTTAATTGAATGGCAATTTTTTTTTTTAAATTGACTTTCAGCTAACTTTGTTTTCGGTCTTTTGCTGACGAGTTTTTTTGCCCATTCGGTCCTTCGCGCATGAGAATAGCCCCCTTCGACTTTATCGAACAAAATTGTTTCGACTGTGCTCGATCTTTGTCTTGACTCTCTCGACCAAAATAGGATATGTTTCGGTTTTGTGCTCGACTTAAAAGTGCTTCTCAACCGCGAAATTCCAGTCGAAAAACTGCACTTGCTCGACTTTTGAAATCGAAACATAAGACGAGCACCTCGACCCGGGATGCGATTAAAACGTGTAGTTAACTATTATTGATCATGTTATGTCGTCAGTTATGTTATGTCAGTGGTGATATAATTGTGGAACAATTGTGTAATTTAGGTGTACGAGGAAGAGATTTCCAAGTTGAAGAAGGAGCGTGTGGAATTGCAGGGTATGTTGGACAGATTCGAGCGACACATGCGTGAAATACAGTCCAGTGTCAAACTACTCACCAACGAAAGAGACAAGACTCAGCAGCTATACGAACAGGTATTATAATCAACCAATTAAAATACCTTGATTACCCCCTCCCCTGCCCATTGCAAAAAGGGGAGGTTTCGTCATAAGGTACCACAATTGTGATATTGCCTACCCAATGAATTAGTGTTTGTAGGGTTTGAAGTTTTTTAATATGTACCATAGTCATCAAGATCCCCATTGAACAATGTCTCTACTATACCAGTTTCTGGTGAAGATCATAATTTTTTTAGCCAATCAGAAATCCCTGAAAGTTGAAAACAAAAGTTGCGGAAAGTATTATTAGAACCAAAAGGTGGTTCTAGTTTAGGCTTACTAAAACGTTTTTCAGTATTCATAGAAAGTTTGGATTGATGAAAAGCCGAGACCTTACATTACGGTACTAATTTAAGATCTATACTTTTTGCTATTTAAATATCGTACCATTAAACTGAATAAAAATTTGAAATGATTAATTTTCTCGACAATTTGATGCTAATTGAACCACTTATTTATAATGTCAAGCCTTTAATTTTTTCAGATGTTGCTCAGATTGGCTTTTTGGAGAAAACGAACAATCAATTTTTTCATAAACAAAAATTGAAAAGGCGCCTGAAAAAAAAAATTGCAGACGCTGTATGCAAAGTACCATTAGTTTTAATGGGAATTTTTGCAATCTCTCATTCCTTTTATTAGAAACCTTTTTTAAAATATGTTTTCACGGTATATTAAGGAAATTCTAACTTACAAAAAATAAGTTTCCCTCAAATTTTTAATTATGATGCATAGCAAGCTATGGCAGTACTGAAGTTAGAGTTTAAAGGATTGCTCAAATTGGCTTTTTCGTGAAAGTCCAACAAGTTGTTTTTTTTGAGCAAAAATTGGAAGCGGCGCCTGAAAAAAATAGCAGACGTTTTCCAACTTTTATTCAAAGTATCATTAATTTTAATGCGGAATTTTCAATTTCTCGCTCCTTTTATTAGGAACTTGTTTGTAAAATGTATTTTTACAATACATTCATGAAATTAAAACTTAGAGTTAAATAAGGTTCACTCTAATTCTCAACTATGATACATATTATGGCAGCAATGAAGCTATGGCAGCACTGAATCTAGAGTTCAAACAAGAGTTCGATCGCAAAAGCCATCATTGCCATTGCATATTTCTAATACTCAACCTAATGATCGCTTATAACACCTTTACGTCAAATTTGTCTTGCCGTTTTTTCACTATTTTTTCATTGCCACGTGTCTTTTTTAATTGCTACCATGGTTAGTATAAAACATGTTGGAAAGCCGCTGTTGCTTTTTGTTAGGATTTAAGCGCAATTTTTGTTACGATTCTGGAAGAAAATTATAAGATTCTCTGCTCAGTGTGGATTTTTCCTTAAGAGATATGGAATTTTCTACGGAAGTTTGTATGATCTCTGAAATTTTTGATGTTCTTGAGCCTTCTACAAAAAGTGTTTCAGTTTAAACCATTTTAGGCCACCTGGGTTCAAACATGACTCAAAAATTTTCGATAAGTTTCAGTAATTCATTTATTTTTTTAATTGACTATTTTTGTTTCGAATAAAAAATCAGCTTAATCGGCGTAATTCTCGCGTGGAGAGGGTGGGGCAGTTAAGAAATACCTGAGTTGTTTATAACCTAGTGAAACTAGTTGAATTATATGAAATGGTTCCATGAAAATCTACCCAATTCCAATTTACCTTATGCCAATCTACCCTATACTAATCTACCCTATGTTCCAATCTACCCTATGCCAAGTTACCCTGTACCAATTTAACCTATGTTCCATTAATAGTTCAATTGGTCAAAGATAACTGAGCCGACTATCTCGTTTCAAGGTTGCCGGTGGGCGCGCTACGAGCGCGTCGTCGCTTTGCGGCATTAACCGGATCTAATTTTGGTCTAGAAACTTACCGTTGGCGCGTTTGCGGCGATCACTTTTTTGCTGTTCCGTCTAAACTAAAATTCTGTCTTTAGGCGTAGGGCAAATTGGCGTAGGATATTTTGGCAAAATTTAAATTCAGTATTTAGATGCAAGGTTACAGCATCAACCCTTGGAACTTAATTTCCTCGAAGCATTGATTACCTTTACAAAAAATCTTATTGATATTAACAGATTTTGATTTTTTTTTTGAAACTTTTTCGGAAGCTCAATAAAACAAATCCATTCGTTCAAATGATTGCGTGCTATATATGCAACATTACATCAACCACGTGCTCGCGTTTGATAACGCCAATTGTTGTGCTTTGCCGGTTTTGTTTGAGAAGAGCTCAATTGGTCATTACAGAAAAAGGAATTGCTCAATTGATCTGCAAAATGTACCACTTTGTTCTTGACTTCGTTTTTTTTTAATTCGATCAACTTTTTGAACCAAAACTAAAGTCTAGCCGGAACATTCATTTTCGCCCTAATTTGTGCAGCCGCTGTGAGTTCAAATTGGGTTACAACAGACTTGGAATTATCAGATGGCGGACTATTGTCTTTTCAACCTTTCTAAATTTTAAGGTTTTTTGTTCATGTTTTCTTTTCTATATTTATAACTGTTCGCTTTTTTCTGAGAGCTTAAAGAGCTTTGAAGGTGGACGTTATAAAGTGCATGAAAAATCTTGATGTTGGAAAATTGTGATTAATCAAATTAGGAAACACCATTCAAACAATTCTGACTTGTTTGAGCTTTCTTTTGATCAATAGAGATCAGCTAATGAGAATAACGAACAGGTGCTTAGAAATAAATTATCATTTTTGTCATTTTCTAGTCAAGTTGGACTTTTCATGCGTTTGCTCTAACAACTTTTTCGTCGACAATAAAAAACCAGTTTTTATACTGTTCAAAATTGCTGAATTTATACATTACGACTGAAACAAAGAAAAGATCTTAAAAAGATCACAGTAAAAATAAGTGCAATTTTTTTCCAAAAGGTGGTATTAATCTCTTTTTATGATAACTCATTTATTTTTTGTATGACGAGGACGGTATCGTATAATGAGTTTCTATTTATAACCTGGAAACTAATCAGTCTTTTTAAGGAAAGTGCAATGGCTAAGCGCCCCTCGCTCAGTTCAATTCAATTTCTCAGAAGTATTTTTCTCTAGTTTAGAGATGAGCTCTCAAACCTCATGGGAATTCTTAAATTTTTTTCATGTTTTCATTGAGTATTAAGACTACCTTAGAAATACGCTGATAGAGCTTATATAGTTCAGTGAAGATGATTATAATTATGATGCTAAATAAGGCGTCATTTTTGACCTTGTTACTTTTAGAATTTTCAGTTTTGATGAACTAATAACGCTGAACTAAAAATGTTATTTGCACCTACTCCATTTTGGAAAAACTGCTATTTAAGCAGATCCTTATTATGTTGCAGTGGTGCATTAAATGTATATCCGAACAGAACTATATATTTATAGCAAAGTGTTTTTTTTTTCGTTTTCGGTTAAATTTTTCGCTTTCGGTTTAAGATGAGCCTTCATCGGAAACTGAGTACGGATCAATTGAGACACCTAAGGCGAAAAAATAGTAAAATTTCAAAGTACAGGTAGTCGTTCACGGCAACGGAAAATTTACGGATTTTTACATTTGCAGCTCAAACTATACTGCATAGGATTTATTAGGGGAATCTACTGCGAAGTCTCATTCTTTTTTCTACTACATGCTTCTACGTAGAAAATAACACAAAAAAATTTAAAAAATATTTTAGAAAAAATTTCTGTCAAATAACACAAAAAAATTTTAAAACATTTTAAAAAATGTCTTCCACCACACGCTCTGTAAAGTACAAAGTGATATATTCTACATAGAGAAAAGTTTTAAGTAGACAAAATAGCAAGCTTCAATTCAATTTGGAAAAAATTCTAAGACGGATTAAATATTTTAAGGCTTGTTAATCTTATATCACACTTGAAATATATCGATCGTTATTCGACCAAATTGATAGTTTTTAAACCCCATAACCTTACAAAAAAAGATCAGAGGTGAAATAATGTTTTAAATTCGAGCTCAAGACAACGGTGTTTTTGTTCCGACTTTATTTGTATTGGGGTGATTTTTTTCTTCAGACAAATTTCGACTTTTTAACTAGCCATTTTGATGAGATTTTTTTTTATAAAAAATCGTTCATAAAATATTGTTGTCCTGAGCTTAAATTTGGAAAAATAATTCATCTCTGATCTTTTCCATAAATTTATGTTAAAAATCTAAAAAATCATCTTTTTTTTGAAAAATTCACTCTATTGTTATAGAGCGAACAAGGCTTCATATAACTTATAAGCAGTCGGAAAATTCCGTCAAAATAGGCTAATTAAAAAGTGAAGTTTGTCTGATTGGGAGAAAAAAGCCAGCCCGAGCTCGCAATTTTTCAGCCACTGTCTTCAATCACTATCAAAAATCACTCAATATCAGTTATTGAGCATTAAAGATGTAAATCATAATTATTCTTTTATAATTACAAAAATTGAAGACTAAAAAACAATGCGTCTCACTCAAATCGCATATTGAAATTCAAAAAACTCAGTTTTGACTTTTTGATTATGCTCCACAAACAACAACGAAAGTAACCAAATAGTTTTGCTTGAAATGAATTTTTCCGTTCGACAAATTTTCGAATGAAATTTCGATCCTAAGTTGAAATATTTAGTTAAAAATTAAATCACTTTAATTATTTCGCTTTTGTCAAATTATTCATTTAACAAGACAATTTATTTGTTAGCTGACATAGCGGATTATAAAGATGCAAAATCAGTCCTGGTTCGATATTTAAAAAAGCATTCCAAATGAAATTTCCTAACACCAAAACACTTTCAAATGAACTTGTTTTTAGTTAAATACGTAATTAAATTTTTCAGTTACTATGAAAGTGGTCAATTGTAGTTTCTCATTCTAAGTAAGGGCAAAGAGGGGCAAAAATTGTGCAAAACTCAGTAATTGAGTATAATTTTGACAAAAAAAGCAATTAGAGTTATTATCAAGAATGCTCGAGTGCACTAATTGATTAAGATAAAGTCTTACGAAAGGCTTGTTGTCT